ACTGGGAGGAATTGACCTCCAGGCCAATTGGCTGTGAGAATCAGCTGTGTCTGTGGTGGGAGAATTTCTGTGCTGGAGTCACCCTTATGGGGCAAGACTTGCTTCAGTGGGGGCTTTGGTGCTCACTGAGTCTGCCCCCTGATTGTGTCCCTTATGGATCTGAGGAGTTGTAATCTGGATGGTCCCACTCTGACCGCTAGGTACACTGGCACTTGGTTCTCTAAGGGGGTACTAATTTAGCCTCTGCCTGAGGTGACCCAGCAGGAGCTAAGGAGAGATCTTCAGATTCCTCTTCTTTGTTTGGGATTTGGAGGTGCCCAGATGAGGCCCAGCTGTGAAGCAATGCAAGCTGCTGTGGGGCCTTGGGCCTTCTTTTGGATGTTCTGGGTCTCTCTGATCCAGCTGGAGTTTGTTAGGTAATTTTAGATTGCAAAGGGCCAGGTCATTCATGTGCAAAAGCCTCTGCACACAGCTTGGGTGGGGTGGGGTCTCAGGGAATCAACAGGGCGGAGCAAACAGCTATGGCTGATCCTCAGCCCTGCTCTAAGAGGCCCTGGGTCTCAGTGTTCTGTGGTAATCGCTGTAAGCACCTCTGAGAGAAAGCCTCCCTTGGTATATAAATATACCTGCCTATATTTATTTATCTAATCTGTCATCTATATACACATATCCTCTACATACCTGCCTGCATACCTACTTTCATTTATCTATAAGAGGCACACAGCAGAGTGAGGAGACAGCTCTGGACTCAGGCAACACAGGTTCCCTCCCAGATCTACCAAGCTGTATAACCTGGCATGAGTAACTTACCTTTCTGAACCTCATTTTTATCTGTATAAAAGGGAGATGATAAAAATAGTCCCTTTCTCATAGAGTTGTTGTGAGATTAAATAAGCTAATTCTTGGTAAGCACTGAAAACAACAAACACTCACTAAATGATGGTGGCTCTTTTAAACCAGTCAGTTATATCACAGGTTATTCATCAAAGGATTTGGGATAACTGAACAAATGCTTTAAAATATAAAATGATAAAATATGTACTTGAGAAAATCAAGATAAAGAAAAATAAGATTAGGAAAATAATAAAGCCAGAAGTAAGAATGACACACAAATAGAATCTTTCTCCAAAGTTCTATACAGTTAGTTCCAGGAGCCTGTGTTTATCAGCTGCCCTGGTAGCCACATAAAAGAGGAAAAGATTATAATCAATTATAAGCTTCTTGGCATCTGTAACATAAAAATAAACCACGTATGCAGAGAAGCATAGCTTTCCCTAGTCAGACTAGAAATCATATCTTTCCCTTGTCCCTTCACAAAGAGAACCCTGAGACAAGCCACCATTCAGTGTCCTCCACAACATACCTGAAGCCAGCAAGTACCAGGCTGACTTTCTCATGATTCCCTGCTGCAAGGACCCAAGGAAATTCTCCAAGAATAAGAATAAATTATAACAATCACCACTTACTATGTGCCAAGCATTGAATCCCCCCCAAATAAACCCAGGAGGTGTACGCTGTTATTATCCCCACTTTATAGATGAGGAAACTGAGAGTCAGGTGAAATCACTAGCCCAAGGACACACAGTTAGAAAGTGGTAGGGCTGCAAACCCAGGTCTGTCTGTTATCAGAACCAGACTCAAAACCATTGTGCTCTCCTGCCTCTGTAAAGGCTACAGTGCTGCACTCCAATTACCAAGGTCTCTGATGAGCTGCCTTAAGCTAAGAATAATATAAGACTCCAGGAGATAGGCCGAACAGTCTGCTTTGCATATGGTCTGCCATAAATATTATTTTTTGCAACTGAGTTACTGATAAGTCTGTGATATCAGTAGCTTTGAGGCTAAGTTATCTGGAAAAAGATCCCAGAGTGTCCCAGTTGTGGGTCGCTAATGCAGGGCAGAGACCCACACTTGGCCCAAAAGCTAAGCAGAGGGAATGACTTAGATAGATCAAGAGGGCCTAGGGGCGATTCTCACAGGGAGGCCCAGCGGGATAGGGAAGTGTTCCCCTAAAAAGAGTCCAGAATCCCCTCCAATATGCAAGGTCCTCTACCATGGAGCCAGGCCTGCATCCATTTGTCTGGAAAGCTTTCAAAGCAGGCATTACCAATTGCCACTGTGGCCATTTAAAAACTCTCAATAAAACAACCCCAGAACATCTAATTTAGGCAATATAGCTTCCTCGTGAACCCTCCAAGATGAATTAGTTGAAAATTGCACCCCCAGGTAACTGAATGATTTGATCTGCTGTATTAAATTGTTTGGAGAGAAACCAATTGAATGCTGGAGGCTGTCTGCCAACACTGATGATCTGGGTTTTCGGGTAGTTGATCTTAAGGCCTGCTTTCTGACAATAATTGAGAAGGAGGATCAATTGTTTGTTGCAGTCAGTCCTAGAGCATGACAATAAAACCCTATCAACAGTAGAGAGAAAAATACTGATATTTCTATATTTATTTACAGGGGTTCCAGCCTGGGCATCAAGTTTACCCAGAAGTCATATAGAGTCATTGAACTCCAGTTCTGAATAAATGAGACAGAAGAGAAGGAAAAATCCACATACCTCTCAAATGTGGTATCTAATTTCCCATTATACCATCCTTCCCTGTTAACCCTGTCTTTATATATCTTAAATGCAGAGTGTTTGATAGACAAGGTCTTTCAAAGTCTTGGTGTTGAGGACAAAAGGAAGAGAGGAGTTGAGACAGATAACCTTAGGTGCTGAAATGGTTAAGGATCACTGGCCAGGGCACCTCTCAGGCCCCATTAAGCTTCATTAGGGTTGTCACACCTGAAGTGTCCCTCTAAATCTCTCCCCTAAGACCCATTCACACACACACACACACACACACACACACACACACACACACACCACCTCTTCAGGGGCTTATTTTGACCCCATTGGCTTGTGTTGCTCAGTGGTTGAGCGTTGACCCAAGAACCAAAAGTTCACCATTCGATTCCCAGTCAGGGCACATGCCTGGGTTGCAGGCTCAATCCCCAGTAGGAGGTGTGCAGGAGGCAGCCAATTGATGATGTTTCTCTCTCAGAGATGTTTCTATTTCGTTATCCCTTTCCCTTCCTCTCTCTCTAAAAATCTTTAAAAACATAAACTGATTGTCAAACTGCAGCGGGAAGGCCAAGGAGGGTTGGGGGGCAGGAGGGAGGGGGGTAAGAGATCAACCGAAGGACTTGTATGCATGCATATAAGCATAACCAATGGACATAAGACACTGGGGGGTAGGGGAGGCTGGAGGAAGGGC